GGTCCTTCAGACATGCATCGACTACAGTAATGTTTAAGTGTTTTGTTTTGATCTCTTTGCATTTTCTCCATAAACTGAAGATGATAGTGAGGTGTATGATAAATTTAAAGACTTGATCTCAGTTGTCTCTATCCATCTCTACCTGCAGGTTAGAGGACTCATTGTAGAACTCTCCTCTGATGTAGATGTAAGCAGCACGGGCTCCCATGGCCCTCCCAGCGATCAGGCAGCCTTCGACCAGCTTGTGTGGGTCATTCCTCATGATCTCCCTGTCCTTACAGGTGCCCGGTTCTCCCTCATCTGCATTCACCACCAGATACTTTGGGCTAACATACGAAAACAGAAACAAGTCGGTGTAATAAACATTACTGTCAAAGAAGCGGAGTTTATCTTGCACAAAGGCTGCACAACACATGGCAATTTCTGATAATTGGCTGACAGAAAAAACAAACTGAATCAAAATAAATCTGCTCTGTTTTATGAAAACTATGATAAACATCAAACTGGTTGAACTATAAGAACGCCAGAAGCATTCCTTTTAAAAAATGTTGTGTAAGTAAAAAGTGTTGTAAGTGCTTGTATTTGCTAAAAAATGCACTTATGTGTTTATTATTGCTCCAAATGTAGTTAAGTTTTTGTAAAAATGTTACAACTTAGCACTAAAATTGCAAAATGATATCTGTGTCCTCACTGACCGGCCATCACTGGGCTTGTTCATGAAGCTCCACTTCATGCCAGTAGGGAAGCCAGCTCCACCTCTCCCACGCAGGCCAGAAACTTTGATCTCATTGAGAATCCAGTCGACTCCCTTCAAAAGAATCTCCTTAGTTTTGTACCAGTCGCCACGCTTCAAAGCACCATTCAGCCTGTGGCACAAATATGAGAAGGTCGCAACTGTGTTTTTGTTTGTTAAACCTCTCACCTTGCATCAAATTCACAAGAGAACAACACAGGGGTGTTACCTCCATTCATGTCGGCCATAAAGGTTGGTGAAGATTCTGTCCTGATCTGCCAGCGGTCCAAATTTAGTTTTCTTAGGAGCACTCTGCCAGAAAAAGCAGAGAAAAAAAACAAACTGTTACTACAGTTGTAAGGATTTAATTTGTTTTATACTGGTTTTAACAACATGGGTCATACCTGTGCTGTGCTGTTGTATCGCGTGATAGTAGTCACGCCACTCTGACTGATAGCAGCTGGGGCACGGGCCACCCCGCTCACCACAGCTCGAGAAAAGGACAGCATCCTTTCTGCATGAAAAAATAAAAAAACAAGACTGAGCCTGAATCATTTTCATTTTCAAACACTAATAAAAGGAAGCAGCTGCACAGGCACAGAGAGCTGCTGTTTAACCTGCTGTGACACTGAAGAAACCAAAACCAAGAGCTGATGTGACAATGCCTATATCCATATTTTACACAGTGAGTGGACATAATGGGGGCAGTTGTGGCTGAGGGGTTAGGGGTACTCCAGTCTGCATACTGAAGTAACTCTGAGCAAGATACTGAAGCCCGAGTTTCCCCCTATAAAGAAATCGAAGTGTGAGTGTGTCCAAAAAGGGCACTTCTTTTTAGAACAAACACTTGTGTGAATGACACTTGTAGTAAAAAGCACCTTGAGTCCATGCTGAGCAGAGCAAAGCTGTCTGTACTAGTTTGTGAAATACGCTGCTGTGAATGTAAAAAACAATGAGTTTCCCTTTCTGTCACAGATCACACACACACACACAATATTTACTGACATATCAGTACCAATATCTTTTGTACTATTGGTCGGGTGTTACTCAGTGTCACTGCATCAACAACTTCATAACACCATCTTCTGATCATCATAATTTGCTATTTAATGGCCCTCTCAGCTAAAAACCAAATCACGCACTAAAAACACCTCAGCCTGAGTTTTATAAAAATAAATGTCGAACACAGAGCACCGAAACGAGAGCTGACATTTCATTTCAACACCATACATTTAGATTAGCTGTCAGTTTTAGCATGATGTATTTCTTGCGGTGGTCCAGTGCTAACTCTTTTGTGATGTTATGTCAGAGCTAACCGAGTTAAGTAACGAAGGTGAAGGCGACTGCCAGCCATGTTATCAAACCTAACCCTGCAGCTGGGCTATTTTATCTCATACGGTCGCTAAAAGGGCGAGTGATTACTGGACAAAACTGATCAGGTCTGCCTTGCTTCAGTGTGATGACAGGAGTACACACCGCTGACCTCCATACTCAGATAGCCACCGCTAGCCTAGGGCTAAGCTAAACTGGCTAGCGGTTAACCTTGTAATGTCAGAATAAAAACAGCGGGTTCACTGTGCAACGTGCAGATATTACATTTAAAAAAAAGTAAATATGCGTTAAAAAAAAACTGAACTGAAATCAGCCACAAACGTGCTGAGGTAAGGCAGCAGACAGTCAACCCTCTTTACCTTTCCTCTGCGTCCCGAGTTTATGAAATAAAGCGAGACAGGAAGCAGAGCGCACGGCCCGGATACATAATGCGGAGGGTTATTTAAAACACACTTTCATAATGCCAGAGAACTACGAGGTTATGCACGTATTTTATTTTATGTTCATTGTTCACAAATTAGGCTTTTATCTTGCATTTTAAACCCTCTCAAAATAACCAGCTGTAATATGGTCTTATATTTACCGAGCGTGCTTGTTTTTGTATATTTGGAAAAAAAAACAAACATGTTGAATTTTAACAGTTTTACTATATAAAGCTACTTTTACTATATTTAGCTTTTTACATAGAGTCTATTTAATTTATGTAACCTTTATTTAACCTATGTTGAGATATTAAGGGTTTTATAAAATGAACTGTTCTATTTTATTTATTTATATAATTTGTTTACATTATTGTTTATTAATTTATTATATTTATAATTGCTCTCTCTCTCTCTTTCAGTTTTGACCATATGATAATTTTTATTGAGCTAATCTAGTCATTACAGATATTCTGTTATTTTGGATGTTTTACACCTTTTGGGATAATAAAGCATATCTTATTTTATTATAAAAACTATGGTAACCTTAAATTTATTATATGTTTTCAAGTTATTATAGTTCATTAGCATTTATAATCATGGCAGTTTATTAAATATCGTTATATATGATAATATTTATCATAATAATTACTTATTGTTTGTTAAACAATGTAGCAATATGGTACTGTAGTATTATGAAGCCACAAAGTATATAGGAAATACCAAAACATCTTATTTATAATAACAGGATCTTGTAATATACATTCAGAACATGCTCATACCACCATATTTATGGATAATTACTTACTGTTTCACATTAATGAGAATGTTCATCATATCATTGTGAGAATGGACGTTACTGTTATGAAAAACAAGGCCATGACTTTATATCTCGTAGTTCTGATGAGATTTATGAGTTACCTGAATGAGATTTATATTGTAATGTAGAGACCCTTCAAACCCCAATGATCAGGCGATCCCCTGTGAGCAGCACTTTGCGACTGTGAGGAGGGAAAACTCCCTTCAAACAAGAAGAAACCTCTGGCATATGCAGGTACAGGGAAGGGTAGCCATCTGCTGTAACTGGTTGGAGGGTGAGAGGGAAAGAGAACAGAAATAAGGAGCAGAGAGTATTATGAGGATAAAAGGCATACCTTTAAGAATCCTTCTCAGATTTATGAAATAGTGAGTGAATATTATGATAAGTCACAATAAGATACATTCTGGACATGTGACTTAATGTTCTTGGCAAAGCTGCGGAAAAGAGCTTCAAAAACGTTTTCTTAAGTAAAACAGTATTTCTTTGATCAACGTGTCTGCACGTTCTTTATACATAATCACAAATAACACACTGCATAGGAAAAAATACATATTTGATATTTATGCTTCAAGGTTACAGACATTGGTATACACATGACATCATCAATATAAAGGTAATAATCAGAAAAATAAGAAAAAATAAAGACATTTCAGTTAAACTTGTAAATTCAAAAAATGACTGTTTTGTGTGCATCAGATGAAAATTTTCAAAATCACGCTGTTTCAAATGCACCTGAGAAAAGTACACAGTATTAATCTAAATGTAAATCAGCGTTCAGTCAATTTAAATTTGTAAAATCTTTCTTTGAAGCAAAAACAGAACAGAAATAAACTTCTAATAACTACATTGTTAATGTTTAGATACAGCTGTGGCTTCTGCTGTGAAAAATGCTGCATGTATACCCTGTATGTAACCCCACTAAAAAAGTGAAGTAAAAAAAAAAACTGAGAAAGTTCAGCTGATATATTTACAAAAAATAGAACTTATATTATACAACAGCATCGTCTGACGGTTACATACTAGTTAACCTATAGAGACTTTATTCTCATTCATTAGTTTTACATTATAAATAAACAATATGCCAGAAAAAATGAAACAAAAACAGTATGGAAACAAATAATACTGGGTATAAATTATTCTTTATATGAGCTCTGTGAAACCTGTCTGTGTACAGCTGGAGATATTACATAACTGCAACTGATCTTCTGTGAACATCAGCATTAAATCTTGACATCAGGCAACCTACAGATGAGAAGGATCATGTAAAATAGAGCCACAGAAAGCTGAATGATGTAACACCAGCTGCTGCTCCTGCAGGCTGTCAATATCCTGGACGGATGATCTGATACATAATCAAAGTGTCACTACAGGCCACTAAAATGTGCTTTAAAAGAGGTATTTACGGCTGGAAAGAGACCAATCTAGACAGACTCTTGGTAAAAAATAAATCAATACATCAATACATCAATACATAAATAAAAAGCTCATGTAAATCAAAATGTAGTATCATCAGAACAGGAGAAAAAAAAGATCATCACTGATGTCCATACAGTTTCAAAATTATACAGGTGATTTTACACAAAGAGTATACAAAGCTCTAACACAAACATGAGCACATATTACAGCTGATTCAAGTTCAAATAATAAAATAAAACCACTGAAGGTAGACTATTTTCACATCATCGCAGTAATGCTGTACTAATAAGTTTAAGTAGGTCTCGCTATCTGATTGTCCATCAGCGTGCTTCAATAGAAGATATCTTTGTCATGTGCAGTTTAAATGTGACAAATGTGCTCGATGAGTCTGGCTGGAATGTTTTTCTCATGGTGCTGAGGGAGTCATTCATCTGGGACTGGCTGATAACTCGGTCTGCGAGCAACGCGGTCCAGTCGGTTCACGGCCACATTCTCAAACGCCCTCCTCATCAGAGGATGCTCCTCCAGGACCTCGTTGAAACTGTCCGCGCTCAACGAGTAAAGACGGCAGTAGGTCTCAGCCCTCACGCTGGCTGTGCGTCGTCCCTGTGTCAGCAAGCAAATCTCTGAAACAAGGAAGACACAATTTTAAATATGTAGTTCATCCCACTTGTTAAATGAGAGGATCTATACCACCCGCATGTCTGGACCATAAATATGAAGAAATACCACCTGATTATGTTATCATAAAGACTAAAAATGGAAAAAGTTTGGCAATACAATCACAGGAAAAAGAAAGCACGATTTACCCCCAAAATATGCTCCATCGCTGAGCTTAATCTCCTTACTACCACGTGGGATGATGGTGACGGAGCCGTGCTGGATAAAGTACATTTTCCGACCCAGCGTTCCCTCTCGTATAATAAAATCTCCTGGCTGGAAGACTTCGAAACGCAGCTTGGTCAGGATCACCGTCACAAAATGAGGGTCAGTGTTGGCAAACAGTGGCATATTGGCTACGAGTCCACGACAGTTATAGCTGACAATCTCCTGCATGAGGGGGAGAAAATGTACGATACGAGAAGTTGTCATAAAACATCTCTGCCAGTTTTTAACTACAGTCACATATATGAAAGATTTGGTAGATTTAAAACATTAAAACATCAACATTTGTAAAGTTTTCAGTGTTTTCAGACAGCAGCTCTTCAGCTTGAAACTGAGAATGTGAAGCTTTTTTTTCTCTTATGAAATAAAGCAAACTCATCACCCAAGTATCAAAACCATTGTTTACTGTCTATCAGTGGTGAGGTGTGCAGCAGGAGTGACAGATGGGTTCAAGGTGGGATTACATCAGGGATCAGTTCTGAGCCCCTTCTTGTTTGCAGTTGTGATGGACAGATTAACAGATGAGGTCAGACAGGAGTCTCTATGGACTATGATGTTCGCAGATAACACTGAGAGAAGTGAGAGCATAGAGAGGTGGGGGTATGCTCTGGAGAGAAGAGGAATGAAGGACAATAGAAGTGAGACAGAATACATGTGTGTGAATGAGAGAGAGAGAGGCGGAAAGGTGAACGTGTAAGGAGTAGAGATAGTGAAGGTGGATGAGTGATGTACACTGTGGAGACTGTAGAACTGGCAAAAAGATTGGAGGCGATTGGAGGGATAGTGAATATATCCTCATGAGAACCAGGCTATTAATTTATGTCCTCTATAATGGACATTTGTTTATGCTCTATATCTTTTGACTTATTTGAGCTACCTTACTAAGACCTGATGTGCTAAATAGAGGAGATCCTGGGCTTTCCATCGGTATCTCGTGTGTTTGGGTGGCTTCTTTTAGCTCCAAAGAGGCAGGAAATCATTAAAAAAATTTCCTCAGTTCCCAGGAGGATTTTGGTCATGATGTTAAAGATGAAGCTGCCAGGTGGGAGCAAAAGAGGAAGACGATAGCAAAGATTTATGGACATAGTCAATAGGGTACACAGAAGGCTGGTGTGACAGAGGAGGAGGATGCTGGGATAGAGTGAAATGGAGGCAGATGATCTACTGAGACAAAAGCCAAAACAAGAGGAAGAAGCTTACAGATCAACATACAAATCAAATAATCTATGTTTTACCATATTGTGATATATAGCATATTATTGTGGAAAAAAATATGTCAGTTAGTCTATAAACAGGAATGAAAGCATTGTTAACTAGCCCTTAGCATATCTAACAACTGATCTGATGTTTTTTTTTAACATAAAAGATGAACTTATTCAACACTTTATAAAAAAAACTGGAGAGAGGAAGCAAGAAACAGCAGGTAAAGTCACACACCTCCTTGAGTGGGTCACTGAGCTCTCCAAGGATGTTGTCCTCATCAAACATCTTGCCTTGGAATCGCTGCTCATAGTAATCGTGGATCCTCTGTCTTAAGTCTGCTGGCAGTTTATGAAATGACATGTACTGCTCCACTTGTTTATACTGGAAACAGCAGAAAACACACAATTAGTCACATGTTCTAGCATGTGTTTTGCGAATTATCCCCAAGAACAATAATTACATATTCATTCCATTTGTTTTGCAGGCTGTTTCTCCCATTTTAAGTGGATTACAAACTCATCTGTAATGGGCATTGGCAGACAGTTATCCAAAACAAAGGTGCCGCCATTTGTTCATCTGTTCTGCTTTATCTTGTGAAAATCCCCTGGAATGGGTCATGGTAAGGCTGCAAAGTCCATTAGATAATACACATATTCTCTAGGCATTTGGCACAGTTTGTACGAATAAAGTACGAGCAAGTAAGCCAGTCTGTGATATGAAACATGGCTGGGATATTAAAGCTCAAAGCCCGAATCACATTAGCATCCACGTGAGGTTCTTGGAAGATATTGTCCACAAAGCAACTGAAGCTGCAGGTCACAAGTGTGCATGATTACCTTCTCTTGATACTGCCGATGCGAGGCGTCCAAGGACTGGACCAGGTTAGTGGCATGGCCGAGGAACATGGCGTAGCATGTGGCCCCGACTACCATGCTGACCATGGTGAGCCAAACATCGGTCATGCCCTCTGGAGGGTGAGCACCGTATCCTATGCACAGCATGTGACTCATGGCCATAAACAGAGCGTAGGAGTACTGGATGTGCCATGTAGAGTTCTGAAAAAGGTAGTTAACAATGAGGCGAGGTGAGACAGAGGATGAAATGAGGTCATCTATGAGCCTGCAACTCTGGGAAAATACAGACAGCTGTCAGCCGTTTCACATCCAAGTAAAGATTTTGTATCTTGTAAAGAATACTGTGCTAAATTGGAAAACACCAGAGACACACATACCTCTGTTAAACCTAACCAGAAGTTAAGACTAAAACACGGCAAAACAGTTGGAAACCAGTTTAATTACATGTAGTCTTTAAGGAGTCTTCAGGAATATTTCTCCAGGCTTCTAGAAGGACACTCAAAGCTCTTCCTTGGATGTTGGCTGCCTTTTGTTCTGTTCTCTGTCAAGCTGATCCCATACCGCTTCGATAATGTTGAGGCCCGAGCTCCGGGGAAGCCCATCCGTGACTGATAGTGTTCCATGTGTTTTTTTTAATTCAGTTGTGCTTTTACTGGACTGGTAATGTGTTTGGGATCATCATGTCATGCTACAGATGATGATGATGCTGTCATCCTTAATATATATTGATGACAATTTGAAGTAACATTTCAAATTTGGATTCATCACTCCATCAGACCTGTTGCCTTTGATTTTCAGTCCAGTTCTTGTGTAATTTGGCGTACCTCAGCCTCTTCTCTCTGTTTCCTTTCTTTATGAATGGCATCTTGACAGCCACCCTTCCACTGAGACCATTTTTGATGAGGCTTCGGTGAACAGTAGATTAACTGAAGGGCCAGATGCATCTCTCAAGTCCAGTGTCAGACTGGATTTTTGTCCCATTTTTTTAAGAACAAGTCTTTCAGATATGATTTTTTGTGTGCGTGTGACTGCATACCATGCTGAGATATGACAAAAACCTTGAGAACTGTCTGCCTATCTCCTTGGAAGCAAAACACAAACAAATGAGGGGTGGCTCATGACTTTTGCACAGTATGTATGTGCAGATGCAGTGTTTGACGCGTGGTCCTGGTTTCAGTTAAGATGATCTCCAAACGTGAGAACAGTATCTCATTTCAATTTTGATTTTTACTCTTGCACTCAATGCACACTGTGGGCGATGTGGCTTTGCCAAGTTTGTGGTTTAGTTCGTTGTGGTGTGGTTTGTATGCCACTGAGTTAAATTACTTTGCCTCCTTCAAAAAAATGCCAACTAACACTGATCTGATCAAATTTGGAATTGTAGCTATATACTCACATACTACTTTAAATATGTAATTTTACTTTCTTTTCTTCATCTACTCACCACCATATTGTTTTTGGATACCCAGCAGTCTGAAGGAAAGTCTTGCAGCATAGGTACCATAAAGGTCAGGCAGCCATCCCAGTGACACAACAGCAACATCATTCCAATCAAGTTGACTATACGCACCACAGCACTGGCCAGGTCATAAGTCATGTGGAAAATCTGTCAGAAAGAAAGTCACAGAGACGATCAAATTACGACATTTCTGTTTCTTTTGTTCTAAGCACGTGCCCGCTTCCCTGCCTTTGCATTACCTCCTCCCATTGGTGGATGTATCGGATGAGGCGAGACAGACGGAGAAGACGCAGCAGACTGAGGATCTTTGTGAAACGCACAATGCGAAGTGCACGAGCGGTACGGTACACGTCTGATGACTCGTGTCGGGATTCGAGGTCGACGATGAGAAAGATGTAGTCGACAGGGATGGAGGAGATGAAATCCACCAGGAACCAAGTGCGGAGGTAATGAATGCGGATCTCTTTGGGGTCCAGGATGATGTGGCTGTCCTCTTCCAAAATGCCCGTACGGAAGTTGAAAACCAGATCCATGAGGAAGAGTGTGTCTGACAAGACGTTGAAGGTGATCCAGGGCATGGTGTTCTGGTCTTCGAAGAAGGTGATACCCCAGGGCAAAATGACAAGATTGCTCATCATCAACAGGAGCATTACGATGTCCCAGTAAAACCTGGAGAGAAGAGGATGAGTGCAGAGCTCGGTTTAGGACAGTTTACAATCTTAAGAAAAATAATAACATCCCATGGCCCCTTTACACTCTCATCAGAATCCTTTCCTGTGATTCGTTCATCATGCAGATGTCCATAAAGCTGTTGCTGTGGAACTTTAGCATTTAGCTGATGGGTCTGGCTGGCACTACAGAAGAAGTGTGAGCATAAACAGAGTAACATTTATAACTGGCAGGTGATTTTAAATGTTTTAAACAGCTTAGCAAATATCACCAAACTGTACAAGCTAAAGGTATAGAGGACTGAGAGCTTACCGTACTGTGGTGAAGTTTACAGCTCTGGTTGGTTAATGGTCAGGGTTGCATTACATTGAGGGTAGCAAATGTTTTTTTAAGCAGATCTGTCTGCTTATATCTTGCTAAATTTAGTTAAATCCACAAAGAGTAGTAAACTTTAGAGCAGCAGCAACACGTGTTTGTGGATTACAGCCAGTATGCAAAGAAAACAAATCAACTGGAGCTCACAATACAATTAAAAAAAAAAAAATCTTATTTCTAAGTGATTGTTTTTTTTCCCCACGCTCTGATGCACATTAGGGTGCCCCCACCTGCCCAATACCACTTTAATGCCATCATACACAGAGTATGCAGACTGGACACCTAGTAGCAAAGATATCACGTAATCGAGCTTTTTGTTTTTAAGTCACTTTCTGTACAATACAATACAGTACAACTTTATTTATATAGCACATTTAAAACCAAAGGTACACCAAAGTGCTTCACAACAAGGTTAAAACATAAGATAAAAGATAAAAGCCAAAAAAAAAGAAAAAAAAACCCCAAAGGTACAGACAGAATAAGAAGTAAAACATTATAGCATGGTTTAGAAGATAAAATTACAGGGTATTTATAATGTAGGAGCCATATGAGTTGTTCCTTTTTTGATTAAGTGGGTTGGTTTAAATGGACTCGCTGTATTGGTGCACTGGTGTGGGGCGTGTCTCATGGGTGTGGTAGATGATAAATGTGGTTGCACTCACCTGTTCAAAGCACCTGATGTTGATGAGCAGAAAGGTAGGGTGAGCATGAGGCAAAACTTTCTGTTGACCGCAGCTTGAATTATTTTCATGTA